TAGCTAATAAATGCACCTTGAAAATGCTAATTGGAACTGAACCATCATTCGGAATTGTCCGCAGGGGAGAAGACATATCGAAGACCTCTTAGACAAAATTGAGGTTGCAGATATTCCTGGAGGAACAAGATACAGGCAAATTACAGGACTGTTCTGTTGAGATATGTGTTTGTCTGCCTGTGCCGAAGATGATAACGCTATCATGCATGTTGTATCAATGTAAGATTTTGATAAAAGAAACGAGCTGTGAATATCATCTCTGCCATTGAAAACTGGAGAGCACTGAGCCTTATAACACATAAAGTAAATAAAATAAATAAATAACACCGCCTTTATTTTAAGCCCGGCGAATCTCAGCTGAGTTATTAGCTTCACCGAGCATGCGACAATGCAAACCTAATTTATTATACCAATTTTATATACAAAGATATAAATCAAACAATAAATCAAAAATTGAAAACAATAAAAAAACTATATTACATACAGAGAACTGATTAACAATCTAGGTAGTTTTCCGTAAGAGATATGTTTTTAAATTAACTTTAATAGCGCGATGACAGGTTCTGTGATTGGCTAATCTGAGGATATTTATTAAATAGTCTAACAGATACATACGAGAAGCAGCTTTTAGTCATGGACTTCTTAATTTTAGGTATTTCATACTGACAATTGAAGTGGGTTAGATGGAAATGAATGCGATTTCTACAAGTCAGTTTTTCCAACAAATATGGGGCAAGGGGGATCCAGTTTTGAATAGTTTGTGAAGAAAACAAGCTTTCAATACAAAGATTAAAATGTTGAATTAGAATAGGCAGTATGGTTGGGTAGCAAAGTTTTAGTATTTCTAGTGTAATTCCATTCGTGCCATGTGCCTTGGATGTCAATTTCACCATAGCTCAAACAACCTCCGAATCGTTTATCAGCTAGAGCTCAAATTCTGCCGATGTACATTTTGTACTAAGATATGGCATCAAAGTCAACTGTATTACTAATCTGTACGTACTGAATCAACAAAACATTGATTAATGAGCTCGGGATTCCTCAGATGTTTAGGAATATCGACGTCCTTCTTTGATCTGTTGTAGATGTTCAGATGATCTATAGTCTTCCGAATCTCTTTTGTCTTTTTTGTGCGACTAACATGGTCAATATAAGAGTTTTTTTTCAGCCCGTACAGGCGAGGTGAAGAGGTTTCAAATTTCCATATAAGCCTCCCAGTTTTGTACATTTGTATTACGCTTGTTTTTCGAGAGAAGATGATTGCAATATTCTTTCATTATAAACAAAGCGTCGGTAAACCAAGGAGCAGGTGGTCTCGTTATCCATTTTTCAGTTATTGGTGCGTGATAGTTAAAAAGAGTTATGATCATGTCAGAAATCATAGGAGCTTTCTGGCTTATATTAACGCAATCAAAGGCTTACCACCAACGTAGATTTACTAATATCCATATCAAATTGTTTAAAATTTCGATATCCAATAATTTTTGATCCGAACTCAGAAATTTCTACATTCAGAGAGTAGTAAATTAATTGGTGTTCCCACTGATCGTGCATATTCTGGTGATGAACATGGTCACTTAACAGACGGTCATCGGAGAGAATAATACCTCAAGCTCACCTTATCTCTGGTATATCTAGTTGGCTTGAGAACCATCTGCTTGCAGTTAAAAGCGTCAAGAAGGTTATCAAACTGATGAGAGACATTGCTATATTTTAAAAGATTTATCTTTATATCTCCCATCACTACAAACTTATCCACTAGCATGACAATGGCAATCCAATCCAATGTTTACTGATTCAACCTTTAAAAAAAGCCATTCTTGTTCCAAGCTTTCAGATGCGTTCTCTGCAACATCTATTTAAGTAACCTTAATATTTGATCGAACGTAAGCTCCTATACCCCCTCCCCGAGACTCACGATCTACCCTATAAAAAATAAAATTCGGAATATGAATTTCATTATTAGATACACTCTCCGTAAGCCACTACTCACACACTGCCAAAATATCCAACCTCAAACTGTTCACCAACGCTTTCATTTCATGAAAATGTGGTAAATAAGGATCACATTTATGTGACCAATTTTTAATATGTTTTTCTGATTTTGATTAGCTATAAATTAGCATAAAGATCTGCTGTAAACAAATTAAACTAGCTCAACAAAGAGAAAAAAAACAAAAGAAAAACAGTAAGAAATATAATAAAGATAGCGGATAATCAATAAACGAGAGTCTATTTAAGCATCTCTTTAAAGTGGTCTTGACTAAGGGTAACAAGAACTTTGGAGTCATCAAAGAATTGTATTTTTAAGGGTTAAAATGAGAACATATTTTATAACACATAGAATATATATTATTTGTTGCATTCGGCAGAAGGCGTTATTAATCAAGTTTATAATTTCTTTTGATACTACAAAATCTCACACATTAAAAGTAAAAATTTCTTATCATTAGTTTTCCGTGTGAAATAGTAGGGCCTTCAACACGCCCACTGTCGGAGGACATCCAGTATAAAACGTATTCGTACAATTCAGCAAGTGGTTTTGCGCTGGACGGCGGCCCTTCTTCCGCAGTCCCTACCGAATCCCCAACGACTTCCCTGTCGGCGGGCGACAAAAAACGAAATTAGATTGATTCACCGGATATTTTTTGCGCAAAAAAAGTCGTCGCCGGGGTTGGCCGCTTTGGGGGTGGTTTTTCGGAGAAGATTAATAAATGGGTTGCGTTCACTCGTCGGCTCGCGGAGCACTAGGTATGATTAGCTTTTTCGGATGGATCCTACGGTTAAATGAATTTGTTTTTCCGGGGGTGTTCCGGCGATATTAATGGATACGGGCTAGGCGAATGACGATATTATCTTCACAGTAGCTTTAATGGCGTCTCGATTATGTTCGGTACCTAGTTGTCCTCGCGACAGTTGCATTTCGAATGATCAAACTTATAGTATGATATTAAATATTTGAAACGATTTTTGCATGCTGTTTTTACTCTGTACGTTTTGACTATTATTGACATATTAAACATGCACGAGTATCAAAGTATCAAATTAAGTGGATAACTAAAGGATTAATGAAAAAAGAAATTCCGTTTTTAATTACACTCTGAATTTAAGTCGGACTTATTATTATTGCACCCAATTCTAAAGAATCCTTAACACTAAGCAGTTATCTGCTTGAAAACTCTCTCTTTGTGAGGATATTTGTCCATATACTTCGAACGTTGGAATTTTTGTTACTTTATTGAATTGTTAATTACATAAATGAAAGCAATAGAGAATATAAAGAACCAAATGAGCGGTACACTTGCACAGCGAAAAAAATTGCAGTATTTAACTTTCGACATAGAAGTGCACCTTTTATAAACAAGTCTCCAAATAAATGAAGGCTTTAATTAATTCAAATATTGAATACGACCAAACATGGCAATTAGACAAAATTACAAAAAAACCTTATTGTCTTGTTTAATCTTAGACAGGGCCACATCTGGTATTGCTCCTGAATTTAATTAGTCATAACTTCCATGTGTCGCACTGTATGTCATTTTTGATTAGGCGTACTTTTAGTATTTATCGTCAGAAGCAACCGTTTTAAATAAAAACGGGTTTGCGTTGGAATTTTTTTTAGTTGGATTTCGGACTTTTTCAAAGAGAAAAAATTCTTCTTTAACGTCACTATCACCAAATTAGTAAACATTGGCTAAAAATGATAATTTTCAAAAATGTGCTGCATTTTTCCTGGACATTTACAAGAAGTTGATTTAGAAACCGGATCCTGGTATGGTTGCGCATCAATTTCTGGTCGAAAGTTACCCCAAGCTTTGGATAGGAACCAAATTTTAATTTTTCGATTATTTTCTGTGGGATCACTTGAAGTCGCTAGTCCACAAATGTTCAGACCAAAATGAACAAGATCTGAGAAATAGGATATTTAATTAGTGTGGCGTAAAAAAGTAGTGTATTATTAGTCTTATAAATGATTGAAGTTTTTTTCGTATATTTTTGAAATACGCCGAAATGATTCAACTTTTATCCAAAACCATTTGTTTGTAAACTTGAATGGGGAATGGGTATGCTTAGTGAAAAATGTCATATATTCACATGAACCTGTGTGAGGCGTGAGGCGTCGCCTTACGATACCCAACTTCCATTATTTCCTATCCTGACACTCATCAGTTTTTCTTTGGTCTTCGTCTTCCGCTTCGTCCATTTGTCACCATTCTAATATATATGAATTTTTTATGTTAAAATTAGTTAAAGATTCACTTTCTAAAGTTGGTATAAATACTTAATTAATACCAAGTATATGGTCCTCACTCAAAGTAATAATCACAGTTCATTCATTTATTGAAAATTATGATATGGAATATGTAACGATGAATTGAAAATCTAAACAATTATTAGATAAATAATTAAACTAAAAACCGATTAACAATCCCATTAAAAAAACAAACGAATTTAAAAAAAAAACAAACTTTTGCAATAGTCTTACTCCATCCCATTATTTGCCAATTTTTTCGAAAGTTTCCAGAATAAACAGCGATGTAAGCGTGAGTAAATCTGTTTTCAGTAAAGAGGTTTGTTTGAGTAGGTTTTAATAAACAGCAGCGCAGGAAGTCGACTGTACGAATTGTTAGAAGGTTAGTTATGTTATAATTTATTTTTTGATATATATGTATATTTATAATGACAATCTTAATTCATATCGTAAAATATTTTTTTAGTTACGTACTTTAAAACAGGAAAGACTTTCGCCGTATCTAAGCACTTACTCAAAGCTTTTCTTTTGCTATATCTACAATTATCCAGTACTGATAGCAATGATGAAATCGAGCTTCCTGATTTTGACATATTTGCTCTTAGTTTTGAAGACATAATTCCTCTCTCTATAGGAAAGTCTCGTTTCCAAATAAACAAATAAATAAATAATGGATCAAATGCGATATTCATAGTGGACGGCTGGACGTAAATCAGATATCATATAAAAATATCCTTAAAATACTTACGTATTGAGCTCGAGATCCAGACGGAACTTATGATTAAAGGCTTTAATGAGAAGCGAAGTGCGATGGAAGTGCTTGCCGGTCTGAAACAAAAAAACAATAAATGTCAACTTTAGTTGCGTCATTGCTCTTTACTACAACTGTCAAAAAAATCAAAACTTTATCGTAAACCTTCATACAAATTTTATTTGGATAATAAGTAAATTATTCGACCAAATAAATATTTATGTTATTTATTTCCAATGAATTTTCAATATTCATAACCGGTAATCTATTTTATAGCCTTTTTTTAAGGTTAGAAGTATTTTTGGCTTAATTCAATGGACTGGCGTTGCATTTAAGCAATTTTTGCCGTCGTTCAAGTCGGACAAGCACGATAATTTCCAAAGTGGGAATCGAACCCGCATCCTTCGGCAAGTCAAGTTGGCAGATCTAACGCATTACCAACCGTGCCATCTTCGGTTCAAAATATAAAGTTCAAAGTTGTGCTTTTAAAAATCACTTCATGTTTGAAAATAAACATTGATATGTACTGTTATTAACTTTATTCGATTATCATTTTTTGTAGTGAAGAGATTATTGAAATAATGCTTTAATGTTAATAACTATAGCATTGTGATATTATCATTATTCAGGACGTCTCGCAATGTGTCTATTAATATACTGTTAGACTTTCTGAGGAAATTAGGAAATTATTCGAATCATGTTAGTCAAACAGGAAATCAAATAATATGCGCTAAATACAATTTAATTTGTTTGGTAACTGTGCGACAGGGTACAAGTTTCCGCAGGCTTCTTATAATAGCGGTAGTTAAATATTACTTCCCTCTTACTAGGCAAATACTTATTGGTCTAAATTTTCAACGGCGAAGAAGACAATATCGACGAAAACAATCGTTCCTAATCGCGGCTCTAATCCTCCTCGTCGTTATTAAATTGAGTTAGGTAAAATGAGTAACTCTTTGTGAGTGATTCGAACAAAACCGCAAAATAACGACCCATTCAAAGCCGGTCTTTTGGTTTTAGTGATGAAAGTAAGCTTTGATGGTATTATTTCGCGTTGAGGATCAATCGAGGTCTCTATTTAATTAGTGTTTGGCAATATAATTCCCGTTACAAACGATGTTTTTGGGTTAGTTGGTGGGATACTGGTTTAGAGAGAAAAGCATATTCCCGAATTTGTGACAATGAAAACTTTTAATTGGCAAAATAAAATGATCACAAAAAAAGCGATCTGTTGCCATGTTAAAACTCATGTAAATAATTCTTTTTTGAGGAAGACCAACACCAATGCCTCATGAATATCTGCAATTTATTAATGTTAAAATTACTATTATTATATTTTTCATTATCATTTATCTTCATGATGTTTCAATTATTATCATCGCGCGATTAAGTTAATGAGAATCGAATAAACAACACCGACCGGCTCTTGCATTGAGAAGTGGACCTCATCTCCGTGGCGACGTGGACCCTTCGAGCTCTGTCATTCTGGCGGCGAGCGGCGTCGGCGGTAGGGCGTGGTGTTTCGCTTGTTTCCCCTTTATTGATTCGTCATCAGCTGGCTTGGTTTTCAATTAAGAGCAAGTGGTTACCGGGGGAACGAGGGTCGGGTGTCTGCGTGTGACAGGGAGGTAGGTCCGAAATCCCCGGTATCGTTGCGCCAGGACATGACGTAGCATTCGTGGTCATTTTATTATATTCTCAAATGCAAAACGTTGACGCAACATCTACAGTGTGGTCGCCTCATTAATTTCTACAGTTTTTTAATATGCCTATTATTACTGATGTTTTACCTTGTTACGTTGTGTTTGCTCTCGTTGCAACATACATGAAGTTCGTAATTGCCATAAATTTTAAAAATTAAGTTAATATTTGTTAATTAACAACCACATTAATTTTTAGTACAGTACAATAGCTTGATTTTAGATGTGAGCAATTCCTCGATTCAGAAAATATAATTACAAATAGTTTTGCAATAGTATGAATAATAGTAACATTTATTTCACCACAAAGCATGCGTTTTCCATTACGACAGGGGCATTATAGCATCGATCCATTCGCAGTTAACTGAGTAATTCAGGATAACCAACCGTACGGGATAGGCCGGTACAGGTTCAGCTTTTCCCAACGAAGTCCTGGAAAATCCACTCATCTTGGAGTGTGCTACATTTTTCAATACGAGGGGGTACCCATAAAAAACCGGAATTGAATTGCCGCGCGCAGAGCTTGTATAGTACACCTTTCACCTTACTGGTGGCGAGTCATGGTGCTATGGTTACGATCCAGAAACGAAGCAACAGTCCTGCCAATGGAAGACGCCACTGTCTCCCCGTCCAAAAAAGCGTCGTCAAATCAAACATCAAAACGATGCTGATTTGCTCTTTCGACATCAATGGTGTAGTTCATGCAGAGTTCGTTCTACCAGGTGAGACCGTTAATAAAGCTTTTTATCTGGAAGTTTTAAGAAGATTGCGCAACAGTATTCGACAAAAAAGACCCGATTTGTGGCGGACAGGGGACTGGTTCTTTTACCACGGTAATGCATCTGCACACCCAGCCATTTATGTTAAGCAGTTTTTGGCTAAAAATGGCATGGTTCCTCTGCCCCATGCACCTTACTCGCCTGATCTCGCTCCGTGTGACTTCTTATTTCCACTTATGAAAAGGGACATGAAAGGACAGCGATTTGACAATATTGAAGAGGTCAAGCAAAAAACGAGGGATGAGCTGTCGGCTATAGCCAAACATGAATTTAAAAAATGTTTCGAACAGTCGAAGCACCGCTTGGACAAATATATTAGTTGTAATGGAGAGTATTTTGACGGGGATAAGGTCGTATATAGTTTATAAAAAATGATTCCGGTTTTTTTTGGGTGCCGCCTTGTGTATTCAACTCTATCCCGCTCTTAAGAGAACTCAAGTGCAAAATGAAAGCTGGAAAATAGTAGTGCTTCATTCCTCTCGTTTTGAAAAATAAATATATTCCATAGAAACAACTATAGTTGTTTGTGTCCGATAGCTTGAATTTTTTGATAAATGTACAAAAACTCAAATGGGGTTTAAAAACATATCTTTGATAGTTTAGTTTGCACTCTGCCTGCCGAGTACTAATGCAGAAGAGAAAGAGTGTTTTCAATTATAAACAACTATTGGAGTAGCGAAAAAAGTCACTTTGAAATCAGCCACGATTACAAGGCGCAATTGTAATTGAAGTTGTTTGGAGTTTTACAAATTCCTCTTCAAAAATGATATTGCTCTATTGTTTGTATAGATTTTCAATACTTATGAGATTTTTTTTTATATACAAAGATAAATACAAAATACAAAAATACAAATATAAATTTAAAAATATATATATTTTGCTTTTATTTTTACATGAGTTAACGGGGAAGGGTTTGGGAAGCGGATCTAAGAGTTCTGGACTGATCTCTCTCGAAGTTGGTCACCTAATCTAATTTCATGATACAGGGGCTGCCTTTTATATTTCGGGATTTTCTAGTCCTGCCATCTGGAGACTAACGTTTTTATAGGGAAGTTTGACATTTTGAGGTTAGGTTTAGTGAGTTAGGTTTTGGCGAAAGAGTGTTGTGTGTGTTTTTTGTGATAAATTTAAAAATTGTAATGGTTAAAAATGGAACTTAATCGGGAGGATTTACGTGCAATAATTTTTTATAACATTAGACGTGGACTAACTCAACAATAATGCATTGATGAACTTAATTCGAGTTTTGGAGTTAAAGTACCACCAAGAACTACTGTATATCGCTGGTTTTCGGACTTCAGTCGTGGTCGTAGTTTTCTTAAGGATGAATTTCGTCAAGGTCGTCCAAAATCGGTGGTTGTCCAAGAAAACATTGATGCAGTGCGGAAACTGATTTTGCAGGACTTACCATGAGATTGAGGGATATCTTTGGGTATTAGTGGGACCAGCATACATACAATTTTGCATGAACATTTGACATCAGCTAAAAAAAGGCTCGTGTGGATTGGTCGAAGGAAATGTAAAAAAAATTCGATCGCAGTGCTTCCAAGCACGTCTATAATATCATGACAGGTGATAAATCATGGATCAGCAGCAGTTGACTGTTTGGGTCTTTCAGGATGAGACAAAGCCCACAAAAATTGTTCGTGTGTGAAGCACATCGAAACAAATACTAGCCTGTTTTTTCAGGAATACTGGCCAACTGCTTCTTTGGTGAAAGATAAAACAGTCAATTCTGAATGGTACTCAACCATTTGTTTGCCGAAAGTCTTAGAAAAACCAACCGCGAAGACCAATCACTTTCCGCTACGAGAACAATGCAAACAAAGAAATTTTTAAGCACTAAAAACATTGATTTGATGAGCCATCCACCATATTAAGCACGAAATTACTTCTTTTTATTCCCATACATTAAGAATAAATTACGTGGGCAATGCTTTTTGGGAAAAGTGCTTTGACGATTGGTTTAACGAATGCAAAAATGTATTGATCATCAGGATGAATAGTTTTAGAAACAATAAAGTCATATTTGTTGGTGGCTTGTAGTTTTTTGTTACAAATTCTAGAAGTACTTGTATCTACACCATAAATTAGTCTTTAAAAAAATCGATAATTTTTGACCAAGTTGCAAAATTCTGCAGTGATCGGCCGACGTAGTTATGTACGCACGTTTAGCTTATCGGGCTCCAAACGGCAAGCAGCGAATAGCAATAATTCTCCACTTTGTACACAATGTCGGCTATCAAGCCCCAAACAACCGCGCCACCCAATTAAAGTCGACATCGGCGAAATCCGCTGCCAATTATCGCCTTTGGATCAATGCGTCGGCAAGGGTCGAGTTGCGTCGACCGAGAAGGCAATTTCGTCGGATCGATGCTAAGAGTTTAATCAAAGTATTTAATAAAGACTCGACCCACCGCTTTTCGCATTTTCCTTTTTTTTTAATACCCAAAATATCCCTTGTGTTGCCACGGATTGCCTTGCCGTAATGTGAACCCGGTTGGTTCGAACGACTTCACAATAGTATATTCGGTCACTCACAGCAGTAATAATAATAATAATAATAATAATAATCTTTAAAAAATGGCAAGTACAACA